AAAAAAATACTAAGTTTCAATTAGTGGGTAGTGAAAATAAGTATATATTTTTCCCATTCAAGCTCAAGAAATCCCTGAATTCTATCAGTACATGAACACCTGGTTAAGAACCCCTCCCCTGATAGTCATCCTGACCACCTGTTCCTTGACTTCTCTGTAAGCAGAGCTCTAACAAAGCAATGATGGAAACTATATGAAGCAAGTTAAACAAGGAAATAACTCAGTGTCTGGGGAGATGGTTCAGCAGTTAATGCATACTGTTTTTGCAGAGGACCGGAGTTTGATTCCCAGAACCCATATAGGGCAGCTCACAACTGTGTAATTCGGACTCCAGAGACACCAAACACCTCTGATGTCCTTGGACATCTGCTCATATTGCACATACCCACACACAACACACACAATCAAATAATGTATATACATAGACCCACATGCAATGAGATGAAAATCTTCCTTGTTTCTCTGAAATGATGTTGATTAAAGCAGAGCTCTGAGCTGGAAAATGATATTGTTAATTAGGAAAAAATTATACATAGACTTAAAACATATTACTGTGCCATTGTTCCGTAAACATTGAATATGATGTCCTGATGCCACTGAAACATGTGCTGTGGCATAACAGAGCATGTAATGCCAAATCCAGCTTCTCTCCAGCCATGAAGACCTTCATACCTCTCCCTCTGACTTTTTAATCTATGCAGTAACCACTCACCACTGCCGGCTTCTTTCTTTAGATTCCATGCTTAATAGCATGTAATATTACAAACTCTCAAAACTCCTACCAAACACACTTGGCCAAAACCAAGCCATCTCCTTATCCTGCGCTTACTCTTGAATAACTCAAGAGGGCTGGGGAATCATAAAACCATGCTAATAGAATTCACTTCAGATAACAGTCACAGATTTCCAAGACAGTCCCTGACACTTCCAAATAAGTCTCTGCTACATTTCCCAAGGACTGCTGTCTTATTCTCAGAGACAATTGCACACCTTCTCTACTCAAATTTCTAGTACCTTCTCATCTTAACTCTTAGATGATGACTTGACTCAGATTTCACAAAGAAGATAGATGCAATTAGACAAGAAGGTCCTTGTTTCCCTGCCTTCCTTTCTATGATCTCTCTGTACCCAGGGCCATACATTTGTCCTACATTTTATCTTGCTATAAAGGGAAAAGAATCACTTCTACGGGCTGGAGAGATGGCTCAGTGGTTAAGAGCACTGGCTGCTCTTCCAAAGGTTCAATTCCCAGCATCCATATGGTGGTTCACAACCATCTGTAATGAGATCTGGTGCCCTCTTCTGGCCTACAGGCATACATGCAGACAGAACACTGTATACATAATGAATGAATGAATGAATTAGCTAACTAATTAATTTTTTAAAATCACTTCTACAAAGAACCAGCTTTTCCTCTTGTGCTTGGGTCCTATATCTTCTTGCCATCTCAGAGACCCGGTTCCTCAATGCTCCCCTTTTATTGCCTGTATCATAAATGGTTTCTTGGCTACACTTTCTGCATACTGCCATTGATACTGATGGGCTATTCCATCACACTTGTCTCCTGCTACAAGTTCCTCTTGGCAACAGAGTAACCTCAGAAATCCATTATTCAAAGCTAGGCAAAGTGATGCAGTCTTTGATTTCCAGCACTTGAGAGGTGAATTCAAGAAGATCCGAAGTCCAAGATAATCCTTAGCAGCATTCCGAGTCTGAGGCCAGACTGTCACTGCTTCCTCACCTTCTACTCCTTAGCACTCTCAAAGTAGGTTTTTCATCCCCAGCATCACACTTGCCCAGCTCTCAACAAGATAATCAATGACCTACCTTTGCCAAGGTTCATGGTCAAGTCTGTTCTTACCTCACTGGCATCTTCACAGCACTTGACACAGGTGGCCACTCCTTTCTGAAAACTTTCTCCAGACTTGAGAGGTCCTATTCTTACATGGCGTTCTTATTCACTCCATTTCCATTTTTGACTCTTCCTCTCATACAAGATCTCCAAATAACACAGTGCCAGGGTGGGACCCAGGAGTGCATTTTTCATCATACCTTCTTCCTAAGTGATTACATCCAGTACCATTGGGTCATATGTTATCTCCAAGCTGATTAAGTAAATGGATTTTGATAGGTCAGCGTGAGCTGGGAATAGTATATCAAAATTATTCATTTGATGTTTCCATTTAGATTTCTTGAAGATATTACCAAGTCACAAAAATTATTATAAGTTAATTCTTCCAGCTCTCAGCCTTCCCCATCACCCTGATGATTGGAGAGTATGGAAGATTAGACTTCATTCTTCTGCTCTCCCTTTCCTCAACCCACATTCAAATCTCTCTCTACCTGACAAACATGCTCTAAATCCAACCTTTTACCATTGTCTCCATTGCTGCTATCCTGGTCCAGCCGCTGTCACCTCTTTCCTTGGCCAATAAAATAGTCTATTTAATTTCCATTCTTCCAAGTTCCTTATTTTGCACATAGCAGCCAGAGTAACAATTTGAAAGCTGAAATTAAATCAAGTTTATTCATTGTCTTCAAGACCTACAATACTATTCCACTGCAACCAGAATAAAATCCAAACTTTCCATCATAGCTTACAAGGCCCTGTATCACTGGAGCCTGTTGGGAGCCAGGATGATCCAAGGCTTTCAAAGAGACCTGATGAAAGGACAAAGGGGATGTTAGTCCTATGCCCTTGCATGGGGGCAGACTTGGCAAGGTCTGAGCCAGAGATGGAGCCAGTACCTCAAAGAAGTTAAGGTTTCCTGGGTGTAGATGGATTTTTCTTTGAGCCACCAACTCACAAATAATGACATGGAGACTTATTATTAATTATGAAAGCCCGGCCTTAGCTTAGGCTTTCTCCCAACTAGCTCTTATAACTTAAATTAACCCATTTATATTCATCTATGTTCTGCCATGTGGCATTACCTTTCTCTGTACTGCCAAAGTGCTTCCTCTGCCTCTGGCTGGCAACTCCACCCTTCTTCTTCTTCCCAGAGTCCTCTCTGTCTCCAGAAGTCCTGCTTAAATTCTTCCTGCGTAGCTATTGGCCATTCAGCTCTTTATTATACCAATCACAGCAATACATCTTCACACAGTGTATAAATATCCCAAACACATGGGAACTGGACTTTCCTCCCTCTGGTGGGTATGTTTATCAGTTCCAGGGCTGCTGTGTTCTCAGTCTTGAGATATACTGTGTTCCCTTTGTGGAACATGTGATTAGTTTCCTGATGACTTCATCGCAGTTTTTCCCTTCAAACAGTATATAAGATACTGTACTTCTTAATAAACTTGATGGCTTGAGTCATCATCTTTTGCATACCTCCCTATCCCAGATTTCTTCTTTATTTTCTCATCTCTGGTCCTTCCTCTCAACACCTCACTGTTTGGGACCCTTACTCCTATGGGTTTAAGTCAGGACCCTGTCATATTTTCCTTTCTTCCTATGTCACAGTCATTCCTATCATAGGACAATTGTATATCATAATCTTCTATTGGACTATCTCCCCCCAGCTCTTCACATGGCGAACCCTTCTCATCATTCAGTCCAAAACCCAACTGACTTTCCTCAGGGAGGTCTTTCCTGCCCTCCTTGTCTAAAGCATTCCTATCCTCTATTTCTATTTATTACAGGGAGTTGTTTCATTTTTCATAGTGAAAAATTATCCTTTTTGTTTATGTGTTCATTGCTTGTCTTCCTCACGAGATTGTACACTCAGAACTCATCCTCTTCCCTGAGGATGCTTTCTCTAGCATCCACACGTCCTCACAAAGTGCCCAGCACAAGGGAAGGTACTCTAAGTGATAAAATAAAAATCTGTAAGGTCAGATTCTCCCTCTACATAACTATGCTAAGTCATTTCTAGCTTAGATGATTCTGGTGGTCTCTAAAGCAATGAAAAAAGAAAGAAGATACAATAGTTATTCATTTCACAGTATAAGCTTTCTTTGTTTCCAAGATAGCACTATTAACTCTGTGGATAAATCCATAAATTTCTAAGGAAAACTAGAAAAAGGTCACTGAATTCTTAGGTTCTTCATAATTTCAGAAGGTAATGTTTATAACTTTTATGAATCTTAGAAACATGAAATCATCTTCCCTCACTTGCAGGTGACGGAACAGTGCACCTGAATGAACTGGTAGATATGGTCAATTACATCAAAGGTAAGTTTCAAGCCATGATAGGAAACACTTAGAAATAGCATTTTATATACTTATCAATTAATACTGGGCAAGTACCTTTCCCATTCATAAAGGTTGCTCCACCACTGTTCAGCAAGTTTAGACTCTTTTATATGGCATCTTTCCCTTTCTGTGGATTCACTGAACTCAAGTAAGTCATAACAAGTATTTATGCTGACCCTTAAAGTATTGTGTGAAATTTTCCCTGAAAATCTCCAATATAGAATCACTGTTCATCACTGAAGGAAGTCAAAACAGGAATTCAAACAGGGCAGGAACCTGGAGGCAGGAGCTGATGCAGAGGCCATGGAGCTTACTCATCATGACTTGCACAACCTGCTTTCTTATAGAACTCCAGGGATGGCACCACTCACAATGGGCTGTGTCCCCCACCAATCACTAATTTTAAAAATGCCTTGCAACAGGATCTTACGGAGGCATTTTCTCAATTTATGTTCCCTCCTTCAGATAACTCTTGTTTGTGTGTCAAGTTGACATAAGACTAGCCAACACAGATATCAAAACCCATAGAACCAGTCACACCCTTTACTTTCTCCTAGAAAAGTATCCTACAGGAATACTTTACTGAGTAAAATTTAAAATCCTGTTTCAAGATTTTTGTTCTCATGATAAGTAGTAAGAAAACTATAACAGGCTAGAAATATTTAAGTATATATATGAGAATCACTATACAAACCGTTACGTAGTAAGAGAATCACAAATTTGAGATCAGCCTGAACTTCACCAAGACTGTCTTAAAAAAAAAAAATACAGGCTGAGGGGCGGAAGTGGGGTCCCAAAGTCTGCAATGATGGCTCATGAAGAGGAAGATGTTAGAGATTACATGATGGAGGAGCAGAAGGCAATCAAGGACAAGTATCCTCCAGTCAATCGAAAGTACGAATATTTGGATCACACAGCTGATGTCCAGTTACATGCGTGGGGAGATACTCTGGAGGAAGCATTTGAACAGTGTGCCATGGCCATATTTGGTTACATGACAGATACTGGAACTGTGGAACCCCTTCAAACAGTAGTAGAAACCCAGGGAGATGACCTGCAGTCTCTACTGTTCCACTTTTTGGATGAGTGGCTTTACAAGTTCAGTGCTGATGAATATGTCATACCCCGGGAAGTGAAAATACTTAATATTGATCAAAAAAATTTCAAGTTATGGTCAATTGGGTGGGGAGAAGAATTTTCATTGTCCAAGCATCCTCAGGGAACAGAAGTCAAAGCAATAACATAGTCAGCAATGAAAGTCTACAATGAAGAGAAGCCAGAAGTGTTTGTGATCATCGACATTTAAGACACCAAGAAGGAATGAAGGAAGGAAAGGAAGGAAGGAAGAGACACTTGGGGACTGGAGAGAACCCGGTTCAATTCCCAGCAACCACATGACAGCTCACAACTGTCTCTAACTCCTATTCCAAGGGATCCGAAGCCCTTATGCAGACATTCATGCAAGCAAAGCACCAGTGTACATAAATAAAAATAAATTATTTAAAAAAATACAATGGTAGTTAAGTGGGATAGCATGGATTAAAATACTAACTATAAAGATTATACAGAATATTCACCTGCATATATACTAAAGCCAGAAGACTACACAGAAGACTGGTGTGGCCCCTGTACGATGATGATACACAAATTCATGAAGTAGTCCATATTTTTCAAGATATATAAAGAACTGCAAAAAACAAACACACAAACTAGGTGTGGTAGTGGGGAGGCAGAGGCAGGTGGATCACTGAGTTTAAGGCCAACTTGGTCTACAGAAAGAGTTACAGAACAGCTAGAACCACACAGAGAAACCCCATCTCAAAACACTAAAAACAATAAATAAACACCTAAAATGCTGTTTACCCCGTTAATAAATAATCTAATAAACTGAATAAACACTTCTCAAAAAGGAAATGCAAATAGCTAATACATGCTTTAAAAGGTTCTCAACATCCTTAGCTAGGATCGCTAAGTCAAATGAAAACTGCTTTGAGACTCCATCTCACCCCAGTCAGAATGGCTGCATTAAAAAAAAAAAAAAAACATACAGTGGAGGATACGGGGGAGAGAGGAACACTTACTTATTCACTGCTGATGGGAATGTAAACTTGTGCAGTCAGTGTTGAAGTTAGTCCTTCAAAGGCTGAACATAGAACTTCAGTTATGAAATATGACACAGTTATCTCTTGGGTAAATACTGAAAGTATTCTAATCAGTTACCACACAATACTTGCTTATTAGTGTGCTATTCATAATAGCCAGGAAATGTAACTAGTCTAGATGTCCATCTAGATGAGAGGATAACACAAGACAATGGAATTTTAATCAGCCTTAAAGAAAAGTGAAATCGTAAAATTTTCAGAAAAATGGAAACTGCAAATCATTATGGTAAATGAATTAAGCCAGACTCATAACGACAATACATATTCTCCCATTTGTGCGTGTGTGTGTGTGTGTGTGTGTGTGTGTGTGTGTGTGTGTAAGTGTACAATTGTAACTCATAAAACTAGAAAGGGGATCTTGAGGGGGAAGAAGAGATCTTAAGGGAGAGGAATGAAAGAAGACACAGAGGACATGTACTGGGAAAGAGGGTACTCAATGGGAAAGGAGGACCCAGTCAGAGATGGGGAGGTGTGGGGAGGAAAGGCAAACCAAAATAAAATGGCACATTATCACGATGCTGTGATGAAATCTGTTATTTTATATGCTGACTTGAAAAATTAATTTTAAAAAGTGTTAGCATTTTAAAAGATTATGTAGTGCCTTAAAAATATTTATAAATAAATTACTTTGGGGTTGGAAAAGCAAAATACAAGCCAAGCATGGTGGCGCACACCTATAATTTCAGCACTCAGGAAGCTGAGGCAGGAGAATCACAAATTTGAGGATCAGCCTGGTCTTCATAGTAAGACAAAATGCAAAATTATACTTACATTAGACTTTCACATTATATAAATAAAGTCATTATCAAAGACCAGAAAGAAAAACTGAGAATTGCCTTTGTGGTAGGGTAGTGGGGTTTCTTGCCCCTACCACCCCTTTAAAGTTAGTGGCCATTAGTGTGGTTAAATCTCTTACAATTAATAAAAAAAAAAAACTATTCTGTGTATTGAGATCGGGTGAATTTTTGGAATGTATAGTGACCAAAGAAGTAAATTACAGGAAAATGTAGTTAAACAAAAATGTAAAGTTTTCGCTGGTGTGAACTTCCAGGTACAATGATCTATACCTGTAGTCCCAATCTACTTAAGAAAAGGCAGGAAAACTGCATGTTTGGGCAACAGAGGCAGCATGAGCGACACAGGGAGACCCTGTGAAAAGGAAGGGGGCCTGGTAAATAGAAAAAAACAGATATCCAGGTGGTACAGAAGATACCAGGTTCTGCATAGCCCACACATAGGGTTTCAAATCCTGGAGTCCTTTATCACCTTCTGCTTGTATACCAAAGCAGAACTATAGCAGGACTTCCCAGAGCTCCTTGTCATTCCAGATGTACAGGGCAACAGTCTACATAAGCACAGAAAGTACTTGTCATCCTTTGTAAGCATTGTCCCATTTCTCATCCTTTCTAAGGAGAAGCAATTGACACCCAGTACTTGTGCAAGTTCCTAGCAAATGAGAGGATCGAGTTCACAGAGGACATGATGAAAGACCTGATGCCTTACTTGAGATTAAATGGTGAGATTTCTGCATGCAAGGTGGTGTCTTCCTAAAAGTGCTTTTGCGACCAGCATAGAAGAGCCTCAGAAATTCTTTTCTGTATCACGTAAAGCACTTGTGTGTGTGTGTGTGTGTGTGAACTGCCTTCTGTCTTAGTTAGGATTACTGTTTGTGTGTCAAAACACCATGACTAAAAAGCAAGTTGGGGAGGAAAGGATTTATTCAGCTTACACTCCCATATCGCTCGCTGTTCATCATGAAAAGCAATCAGGAGAGGAACTCAAACAGGGCAGGATCCTGGAGGCAGGAGCTGATGCAGAGGCCATCGAGAGGCTGCTTCCTAGCTTGCTTCCCCAGGCTTGCACAGCCTGCTTTCTTATAGAACCCAGGATCACCAGCCCAGGGATGGCACCACCCACAATGGGCTGGTCCTTCCCTTATCATTCACCAATTAAGAAAAATGCCCTACAGCTGGATCTTATAGAAGTATTTTCTCATTTTATGTTCCCTCTTTTCAGTAACTCTAGTTTGAGTGTCAAGTTGACATGAGACCAGCCGGCACATGTGTGCATCATATTGAAATGCAGGCTTGGGTTCAGGTCAAAGGTGAAGCCTTGAGTGTCTAACAAGCTCCATTGTGGTATGATCCTGGTCCATGGGCCACATCTTGACTGCCAAGGATCTAAACAGGAAAGAGAAGAGATATGCCTGTGCTTTCCTTTTTTTAATACCAAGTAAAACCAATAAGCCAGTGTGTGTGAGGGCATGATTCTAACCCAAAAGGGAAGTACAAAAAATATTAGTGGTTAAAATTAGGAAATAAAAGTGGGCAGCAGGCAGAAGCAGGGGTTTGGGGCCAATTGATCTTTTACTGACCAAGATACAGGTCAGTGATGGGTCACGGGCCTAGCATCATTTGAAAGGCCCTGGGTTTGAATTCTAGCACCATAAAAATGAACAAATTAAAGCCAAGTGTGGTGGTGCACACCTTTAATTCCAGTGCTCAGGAAGCAGAGGCAGGTAGATTTCTGAGAGTTTGAGGTATACAGAGTGAGTTTCAGGACACCCAGGGTTACACAGAGAAACCCTGTCTCAGAAAAAAAAAAGAAAATTAAAGCTTGCAGCAAAGCCTACATGTACTCCTGATCCTTGTCCTCCACCACTTCCATCCTGTCATGCAAACCACTGAACCATGATTCTCTAACACAGTTTTGTCCCCACTTTTGTCCTTTAGCTTAATTACCACTTTTTCTCCAATGTTGCCCCTCCACTCCATCCCCATCCCACAATGCATCATGAAACCCTGTTTGACTACCCCATGCTCCCTGTTGCATCCCATGGTCCTATTCCGCTATTCACCCCTCAACCAAAACAGCACTGTTTCTTCTCAGAACTCTGATAGGATTTTATTACAGACACAATATATACCTCCTGCTCTGGCTTTTTTATACACTTCTGTGATCTTCCAACAGACTTTAAAGTTCTTAAAAGAAAAAGTCTGATGTCAAATGCTAAGAACACAAAAAAAAGATGAATCACAGCCCTTGTCCTCATAAAGCTTTTGGTGCAATAGAGGAAGAAGCACATAAAAAATGTGATGTAATGCGATAAATGCATGCAGAAGCACATATGGCTGAGATTGAAGTCTTCTGGGGAAAGACTGCCTTAACAGGAAAGACGTATGGCATCCTTCCAGTCAGAGACAGGCTGTGCTCTCACTGTGGCAAAGCACATTTGAGACGGTTCTCAAAAAAGATGTCCAGGTCCCCAAGAAATGAATGAAGATGTGGAAGTAGAAGGACTAGTTAGGAAGAGAGAAAGGATTAGCAGGACTAGTTAGGAAGAGGGAGAGGATTAGCAGGACTAGTTAAGAAGAGGGAGAGGATGAGGATTAGCAGGAGTTAGAGAAAAGGTAATAGGGGTGAATATGACCAAAATACAGCAATACATGTAAGAAGATATGATGAATCCCATTGCTATGTACAACTAATATATGCTAATATAAACTTTTAAAAAGATTTCTCAGAACAAAGAGCAGGTCCTTCCCTCCCTATTCTAATGTATGCATATGCCAACGTATTTCTCTTTATATCTCCACTTTTACAAAAACATGTGCATCCCAGTAAAATGGCTCAGCAATAAGGAAACCACCTGAGTGTGATCCCCAGAATCCACATGGTAGAAGGAAAGAACCAATTCCTACAAGTTGGTTCTGATATCTACGTGCATGCTATGTTTCTCGTGTATGCATGTGGGTGTGTGCCCACCCACGTGCGCGCGCGCGCACACACACACACACACACACACACACACACACACACACACAAATAAACAAATGTAAAAAACTTTAAATATATATCTATTGTCATCTTTTGGGAAAAGATACTTATAAACTTGAGACCAGATTCTGTTGGCAGTACCACTTTCCTACTTGTGACCTGTAATTATCAACCACATTCTTTTAAACTGTCTCCCTACAAAAGTCATTGTTTGTTCCATCCTACTCAGCTGAGAGAAAAGCTAGTCCAAATTCCAAAGCAAATAAATACAAGTTCAGCCTAGTACTTTCTATCGGAGGCACGGGGCCCTTGAGTTGACAGGAAATCACATTTAATGTTGTTGTTAATAATTGCACAACTTTCATTAACTTTACTAAGTTTT